GGGGCCACTGGTAGAGGGGAGAGAGTAAATCAATCTCCAGGCCCATTCAGCCTTTAGGCTCCCAGCTGGTCCTGTTAAAAAGGGTGCTAACTAATGACGGGTGAGTTTTGTGATCACAAGAACTGGATAGGGGCATTTCCACCTGTTTCACAAAGGCAACAAAAGAACCATTGGACGTTAATGACGTCTGTTCTCTACTGACCTGGGCTGGATACACCCGAACGAGGGATTTCGAAAGGAAAGGCTGTGTGTCACATGATCCTTCTCAGCTCAGGCAGACAGACATGTACTAGCTCTGCTCCGGGTGGCCCCTAAACACAGCAGTGGCTGCAGCAGCACGGGCAGCGGCTCAGGCTAGCCAGCCGAGTCCCTGCCTGGGGACTGGGGAGGATTGTACTTTTTAAAAAAAAAACTTTCCTCTCTTCACAAACATGCAATGCAAAGAACATCTAGGAAAAACTGAACCAGCATCTGTTAAGGGCCAGATCTTTACACGGGGCTAGGAAGAGGTGGAGGAAATAGCTAAATGGGTGTAATTATCCAATAGTACCCTGGTTATCTTACCTTGTACGACTAGCCTTCCCTGGGCAGTTCTCCGCACCCTGGTGCCGGGTTTGTTAGCAGCACACACGTATATCCCAGAATGCTGCACAGTGAGGTCAGAAATCATTAGGTTTCCTGTCCCCAGCACCTGAATTCCTTCTACGCCAATGGGACGGCCATCTGGAAGAGGAAACCAGACCAAATTACTTAGTGTACCTTTAAGCTGAACTCTCTGGCCCACTGCGAGGGGAGTTAGTCCTGAGTCCCATTCAACGGGAGTCCTTCCATTCACTTCAGTGAGTTTTAGCTCCAGCCCTCCACGGTGCAACTCGAACGATGCACGTGAAGTGCGGAAAAAGCCAGTCCAAGGGCCTCAACTCAGCCTTTGCCCCCAATTACAACGTGTTTCAGTTGTATCGGGCCATTGCATTTTATTGTTCCATTGGTTGGGGTTTTAAGATTCCGTACCTGACAAACACAGCTCTAAATCAGCCCTAGCCCGTTCCAGAGTGTCTGAGTGGAGAGCCGGGTGGTTATTGCTGGAGGAGCTGCCCTTTCATCAGATATGAAACTGAAATCCTGTTTCCTTCTTGCATGTGTGTTTAGAAAGAAGGTTAAAGGCCCTACAGAACCAAAAAATAAAGGCCCAGCCTTGGGGATCTTAGCACCTGAGCACAACACACCCTCTTCAAATAGCTGCTCCTTTAGGTAGCAAAACAGTTGGTGTGTTGTGCTTTAAAGGTGTATTGAGATGTTAAGAAAAAAGGAAAATTTGGGATCACTATTAAGGAAAAACTCCTGCCAGTGATTATATTAGATTGTGGCATAGTCTCCTCAGAGAAGTAGTGGAAGTCCAATAAAGACTTTAAACATTCTGTAGGGAACAATCGTTCACGGGCAGGAGATCAGCTAGATGAGACAGTTGTTTTCCATTTCTATTGGCCCAATCCTGAGATGCTGTGCACCTGCAACTCCCATTGATTTGGCCCTCTGATTCTAGGATTGGCTTTACTCCAGTTGGATGCATAACTACGAAGTTGTCTTAATCACAAGGAGCCTTATCCCAAAGGGACCGCGAATGGTACTGCTTGCAAACATTCAGGGCTCTATGGAGCATACAGTGTCAATATCTACAGTAATCCAATGATGGGAAATCTATGTGCAAATCAGTGTGGAAATGAAGCTGTTGACATTCAAAATGTGGTTGGGTCACCTCAGTCAAGCAGCTGAGACACCTTATAATTTTTATCTTAGCTATTGGTCTTCATGCTTCAGGCAATAAACTGATTAGCAGCTGGGGTCAGGAAGAAAATTCCTTCTGTAGAATACATAATGAAGAGCTTTTAGGGGGACTTTATCCTACCTGTGAAGAATCCAGAGCCAGCCACAGCCTTACAGAAAACCAAGTAAATGGCTACACTGGTCAATTACAGTATAGTCGTTCTTCCAGCAGAAAGGGACAAATAACTATCACCCAACCCAAAAGCCACTTTGCAAGCCATCTGTGATATTTTGAGCATCTACCCATTTCTTCGGTTTGTTTCTACTTATGTTTAGGCATGCAATTTCTTCCTCATTCCAGGAACTATTTTTTTCTTTAACACCAAAAGCACAACCACTTATCACAGGAGCCAAACCACCAAGACAGCTTAAGTCCTCAAGAACACGAGCACTAAGAGATGATAGATATGAAACCAGGCCTTTCAAAAAAATCAGCAGATCCTGCAGTTTGTGTTTATCCATCAGACCAGCAGAAATAAATAGTCTAATTTCAGATGGCAGCTTGACAGAGAGCGGTGGGAAAAGGTACTATGGATTGAAAGACACAACGCTCTGAAATTTGCAGACGCCTCTCCTGCCCATGCTCTTTGCAATGTTTTACAGGAAATGTTTAACTCAAAGGTTTCACTGTTCCGCCAGGCAGGCAGACCCTGGACCCTTCATTATTTAAGTTACAGTGAAAGGTGCTCAGGTCTTTCAGATGGAGAAAAACAATGTCATTAAATAATTGTATAGCTGGCCAATGCGCAGCAGCAGTAAATTGCTCAGCCATAAAAAGAACAGTAAAGCGTGACCTGTCCAGTGTTTAATGAGCAGGAAGAAGGGTCTGTTCCCTTTGAATAATATCATTTAAACCAAACTGTAAAGAAGGTCTGAATTAAATTCAAATTGGACTTGATTTCATCTTTAAATTAGACCTTTCTGAAGCCCATATTTACAATAGGTGTAAAAATCAAATCTCTCCCTTGAGGAAGTAGGACAGGTGAAATATATGAGCAGACTGTACCCGGCTGTAGGATTGTATAAATGAATTAAGAAATAACACAGAACTATGACTTGAATGCCTGTCTGGGTTATTACCCTATTTACCATGGGCTACATAATTTAAACAGAAAAGACCCAGGCTGCGTCAGATACACCGCGCAGTCGAAATATCAGTGTCTATATGTTTCCATTTGTCTCTACAGCTGCCATCTACTAATTAGAGATGTGAGAGTTTGAGGAAATTTCTCCTGCCAGGTAAATTTATCTTTTTTCTAAACAAAAAAAAATAAAGTTCTCCCAGCTCATATTCACCAGTCGAGAGACGAGGCGGCTGAGGTAATATATGTCATGGGACCAACTTCTGCTGGTGAGGGAGACCCGCTTTCGAGCCACACAGAGCTCTCCTTCAGCTCTGGGAAAGGTAGTGAAGAGCTCTGTGTGGCTCGAAAGCTTCTCTCTCTCTCTCTCTCTCTCACCAACAGAAGTCGATCCAAATAACAGATATTCCCTCACCCACCTCGTCCCTCTAGTATCCAGGAACCGACGTGGCTACAACTACACTACACCATTCAAGTCAGACAAGTTTTGCCGTCTCTAATAATCATAAATGGTTGCATTTGCTGGCTCAATTCACACTCCGTCTCTCAGGGTCTGTCTACAGCAGCACTCTGAAGTGTAGACCAGTGCTTCTCAAAGTCGGGCTGCCACTTGTTCAAGGAACAACCCCGGCAGTCTGGGCCGGTTTGTTTACCTGCCGCGTCCGCAGGTTCGGCTGATCGCGGCTCCCACTGGCTGCAGTTCGCTGCTCCAGGCCAATGGGAGCTGCTGGAAGCAGCGGCCAGCACATCCCTCGGCCCGCGCCACTTCCCGCAGCTCCCATTGGCCTGGAGCGGCGAACCGCAGCCAGTGGGAGCCGCGATCGGCCGGACCTGCG